CTGGCATGTGGTGCTGGGGGATTGAACCGCGGTCCCTGATGCTTTGCCAAGCTTGTTCTAAGTAGGTGCCTTAGACCACTGAGCCATCTCTCCAGCCCCATACTCTTGATAATATTAAAAAACCCTTTGACTGGCTTTTCATTTCTTTTTTTTTTTTGTTTGTTTTTTTGGCGGAACCAGGGATTGAACTCAGGCCCTTGCCTTTTCCTGGCAAGCACTTATTCTACTGAAATTTCTCCCCAACCCCTTGCTTCTCATTTAAAAAAGCATCATTATATATTTTCATTTATAAATCATTACATACTATAAATGTTGGTTGATGTTATAATACAGTACTTTAATTTTAAAACAAAACTTGCCCGGGGCCAAGTTTTTGCCAGGAGAAACAAATTTGAAAAAGACAGTTTTTGTTGAAAGAAATATACATGGAAACTTGAATTGTAGAGGTAAAATATTGTCTTGTTTCCAAGCATCTGTAGGTTAATGGTTAGTTGATACACAGTTTCAGTATATAAGTAATATAAGGAAACTCATTTTAAAAAATGGTATTTTATTCAAAACCTTGATTATATTATTGTCCTCAAAGATATGATGATTCAGTCTGGTCAGACATGAAAAGCAAGCTAGTGCCTGTGACACCAGTACTAAAAGAGTAGCGTCTGAATTAGTCCCTCATAGCGGATGGAACTGTTAGGTTAGTACTGTGAGTGCAGCTGTGCTTATGAGTGGAGGGTCCTTATACGCTTTGTATGAAAAATATCAAGATAGAGCCTCATCAGGTAGTGTCAGTACTTACTGAGAACCATCTGCCTGACCCCTGTTAATGCTGTGTAGAAATCTAGATGGGTCCCTGTCTCAGATTTCCTGAGGAAATGACATATATAGCACAGATGGACCATAAATTAGTAATTGAAGACAGTGGCACCCAACAGTCAGTGGGTACAACTCAGCGCATTAGTTTCTCTAGAAGCCCAGTCAGGCAGAATTTAAATTTTTTATTTAAAAAATTTCAGTGATTAGGGCTGGCCATATAGTTCAATGGATTAAAGTGCCTGCAAGTAGGCACAGGGGCCAGGGGTTTGATCCCCAGGCCTGCTGCGCTGGTCCCGCCCCCTGGGTATGCTGAGATGGCAGTTGAGACTGGGCATGGTGGCACATGACTGTAATCCCAGCTCTTGGGATGTTGTAAACTGGTGGATCACGATGAGTCTGATCTAGTAGTGAGACCCTGAACACCCTATAGGCCCTTCCCTAAAATAAAAAAAATAAAAAATAAAAATTCAGTGATTGCCAGGGAGATAACTCTGTGGAATAAGTGCTTGCCATCCTGAATTCAATCCCTGGTACCACAAAAAATAAAATTAAATTAAAAAAAAAAAAAAAAGAGTACCTTTGGGCTGGGGATATAGCTCAGTGGCGTAAGCACCTGCCTGGCAAGTGCAAGGTCCTGAGTTTGATCCCTGGTACCACAAAAAAATAAAAATAAAAAAAGGGAAAAAACAATATATAGTGCCAAAATTTGAATTAAGAAAAAATACATATGTCAACTAGATAAAGAATTAAACTCTTTTCAACTCATAGTCACTTTTTTTGTTTGTTTTTTGAGACAGGGTTTTGCTATGTAGTTCATATAGAGAAAATATTGTAATTTGTGTGTTAGAAAATGAGAGATCAGAAATACACATTTAGGGTGAGTTGTTTTTCAAGAAGTCTGTGAAAGGAAGCTGGTTTTGCTGGTAATGTTGGAAGTACTGGATATCCCCATGGAAAAGAGTGAAGCTGGACCATAAACAAACTTGATATGAGTAACAAACATAAATTTTAAAGTCACTACTGTGAAACTTTTAAAAAGACATAGGAGCAAATCTTCAGAACAGTGGGTTAGGTGACAATGTCTTAGGGGTGACCCCAAAAGCACAAGCATCAGAAGAAAAGCTGGATTTCATCACAGTTAGCAGTTTTTGTGTTTCAAAGGATACCATCAAGAGAGAATAGCAAGAAATATTTGCCAGTCGTGTGTTTGAGAGGGAAACTTGCATCCACTGCTACTAGGAAAATGCTTAAGTTAGAGAAAGAGATTTGTAGAAAACAGATCTGAAAAAGAGGTCAAAGACCAGTGTTTGTGAGTGGTTTCTGGTTTCAGAAGGAGAGCCCTGTTCTACAGTGGTGTCTTGGTCATGTCTTTCAGAATAAGGATTTGTAATCTACATTAAAATAAGTGCTTCTTTTACCCTAACCCACCCCCTTCTGAGATGACAGTTACAGGCTGTGTTCAACTGGGAGGAGCATTCCTTGGCCCGGGAGTCCTTTGCCCTGTGGCATGCTTAGCTTAATGAGCTGGCTAGCTCCTAGTGTGATTCTAGAC